GGTTCCTTCTCTTTTCACGGTGCTGATTTGGGGATTTCAAGTTTGGTTTTGGCTCGAAGCATACTTGGATTTTGATTTTGTATTGAAATCTACCTCTAGGGTTGATTAGTGTCTGTGAAATTAATACGGTTTCCAATTTTCAATGCAGGAAAAATTGAAGATCTTGTCATAAGCAAGAGCTAAATCATGGACGAAAGTAAATACTTATAATAATTCTTCAATTTTGTGCTATTTGGTTGAATATAGAACCAATTGACTATCATTCAAATCTAGAAACAGAGTAGTTTTGGAATTTTGGGCATTTTAAGTTGTGATATTGTCTCAGTGAATTCTCAAGTGTTGGAATCTAATGTAAAGCTCTTATTAGAGAAGGAGACATATTGCTTTTGGGGATTTTTTTTGGTATATACGCGTTCATCAATATATGTGTTGCTAGTAAAAATTGTATTTTTTTCAATTGCAGATACTGCTAAATTTGTATCCAGAAATGGTAGATCCGAGCTGGTTAAATTTATTGCTGATAGGCATGCTAATCTCATGAGACCAGCTGCTCGATATTATTCCGCGCTTAAAGGTAAAGACCGTAACCCGCTTCTCGATCCATTTCTGCCTAGTGTCTAGTCGTGTCATGTGTTGAAAGTCCTGCGATTGTTATAGATGCTTTGGTTTGGGGGAAAAGAAGATATACGCTTGTTAAAGATGTGGACGACATGGAAACAGGAGTATATGACAAACCTCTTCCGTGCTTTGGTTGTGGAATCGGCTGGTTCTCGTGAGTATTGTTCTCTTATTCAACTCCTTGTTATCGGTACCAGTACGGAGTTAATCTTCACGCCTTTTGATTACATCTCTATTTATAATAAACAGCTTTCTCCTGGGATTTGTGTTCCCGCCTTTGTGGTACTATGCGGCATTTCTTTATTTCGGCAACTATTACCGCAAAGATCCTAGAGAAAGAGCCGGACTTGCTGCTTCCGCAATCACTGTGAGTACTTATATTATATTATGGTTAGAGAGGTAGTATAATAGTAAATATGCTTTGGATTAGTCGAAATGACTGAGTATTCGGTGTTAAATTGGTGCAGGCGATGGGATTCTCTCTTGTGGTACTCGTGTTTTTGGCTTTCCGATGGCTTTAATATCATCAGATATACAATGCAAATGTAAGTATGGATTGATTCTTATAAGTTCCACGCTCATCAAAGGATAGTAGCGGAACTTGATATCTCGTATACATTCACATCAACCTGTGATTATACTTCAAATCTTTTTTTCTCTCAAGTTGTGTGTATCAATTATTGTTCACAGCTTATAGAGTTTGCAATGTAAACAAACAATAACCGAGAAAATATAATAAACACAGATAAAACATCTGTTTTCTGGTGGGCTGGTCCGTTTAGTATTGGGTTGTTCTACGGTTGAGCCCATTTTCTGAAAACAATTTTTTTTGTTTTAAGTTAAAAGTTGGATTTAGGGTTTTTTAGAGAAAAAAAAAGTTTGAAAAATATGGTATGTGGCAAATTGTAGGCCATTGGATTTAGGATTTTTTGTTAGTTTTCAAATTATAATTTTTTTATTGTATTTTTGGCAAATTTTCCCAAACAATTATATTTCGTTAGTAATAACTAATAGGGCTAATTTGTTCACTAACAAAAAAATTTATAATAATTAGACAACTAACTAAAATGAGGGTATGTGGCATAATTATATACACTAGATTTAGGTTAATTGGTTATGTTTTTAGTTATAATTTTTTTTGAGTTATTCCACCCAATTTCCCTAACTAATAAGTACTATAATTTTGAAAAACGGTATCATGGACATATATATATTCATCATTGAAATACATTCCATGAAGCAAATTAATATATATTCAAAACTAAATGAATTTTAAACTTTTTGTGTGAAGTAGATATGGATTTTTAGTTATATTATGCAATGAATCAACAAATAGACCGGCTTATTGTTTTACAGGAGAAATTAATCTCATTGACAAATTTCTAAACGAAATGAAAGTTATTCAGTCGTAATGGACTAAAAACTCCAAGCCGTTTTGTACACAAATAACAAATTTCAACGACGGCATGATGTGCTTTCCTAAGAATGTAAAACAGAACGATGTCTCCAAATTCCAATGATAGAGATACGTACGGGGGATTTTTGTACTCCTTATAATCAAAGAGAGTCTCTCTTGATTGATTCGATTATTCTCATCGCTAAAAGCTTTCCAATAGGTTAATGCCACGACAAATGTGTGTATCTTACTCCATTTTTTTATTAGGAGTAATCAAAAACACAAATCATTAAGAGCTTTAATTAGTTTTATAATCAAATAAGGCATGTAATACGATTGGATGTGTGGTAAATCGCACGTGTGGGAAACAGGCTGTGTAATTTGGAAGGTAGCTGTTTGAAGAAACTTGGACGATACTTCCCATTCATCTACCGGCTCCTTTTTCCCAGCCTGTCTCGTTCTCTTCTTTTCTTACTTAGTACAAATTTTTGATAATAGTATATTATTATTTTTCTGTCTCTTGTAACTTGTTTCCAGACCAAAATACAGGTGATATGTACCTAAACTCCAGATTCATCTCCATCTGTGTCCAGTTATTTTAATTTAAACGGTATTTAGCAGCAAACGGAAAAAAAAAATATTCGGATTTTTCGGTCTTTCTTTGTCTAAACATTTTAAGCGAAAATCGAATTTGAATATGGTAGCGCTAGCGAAAACGTTCTCTTTAACCACTTGAATTACTGAATGGCACTCCGATAATTAGCATTAGCATCGAACATGTATTGATTCAATCCACAAACGCATGATACTAGTTCATAGTACATGCTTCATGCTAGTAAATACAACTCTCCTTATAAATCTGGCTAGTTATTTCATTTGGTTGAAGCTGACGATCTCTTTTGATTGAGTCTTTTAAATACAAAAAGACTGTTAAATGTTTGGTGGATTTGTCACATGTATTATCAAATATTAATTTCGATCTATGGAAACTTGATTCGATGACTCAACAATTTTTTTGGTTGGACAAAAAAACTTATTGATATCACTTTTTCTTTCACTAACTTTTTACCCACGTAAATCACCTGATTAATTTATGAGATTTTAGAGAACCTTATATGATTCTCCCGAAACCGATTCTCTTAAATTAATATGTATTTCTTTATACGTAAATCGCTATCCTCCTTTTATTTGGTTAATGGTTTTATATGTTTTTTAGTTAATGCATACTTTTCTTTCTTTGGTCTTTAGGTTTACTAGTGGGACACTGAATAAGAAAGATAAGAGCCAAATTTCAAAATATCGAAAATATTTCTTTTTCATAGACAAAAAAAAGCTGGTGGTGATGGCCATAATTTTAGGACTATGGAATTTAATATTTTCAAGCATAAATCTG